GGTTGTAGGACTGAGTTCCTCCTCCCAGAGGGTCACCCTGGCTGCCCCTCTTGATAGGCAGTTCTCAGTACGGATATTCAATATGGATATTCTCTCCAGTGGGAGAATCTCTTGCTTTTGAATATTTTTTGATTAGGTGAGGCCCACCTGGTATAATCCCACCCCACCCCCTTTTTTCTAAAGTTTGTTTATTTTGAGAGAGACAGAGAGTGCGAGTCAGGGAGGGCAGAGAGTGAGAGAATCCCAAGAAGACTCTGCACTGTCAACGCTGAGCCGGATGGGAGGCTCCAACTCATGAAACCATGTGATCATGACCTGAGTTGAAACCAAGAGTCAGACGCTTAACAGACTGAGCCACCCGGGCTCCCCTATAATCCCCCTTTGACTAACCCAAAACCAACAGATTAGGAACCTTAATCACATGGCAGAATGCCTTCACCTCTGCCATGTAAAGTGACATCTGTCCTATTCACAGGTCTGCCCATGCTCAAGGGGAGGGGATAGTCCAGGTCTTGTGCACCAGTAGCAGGGGCATCTTGGGGCCCATCTTAGAATTCTTTCTACCACAACAATATAGATGGGTTAAAAGCAAAAGGATGGGGAAAGAAATACCATGAAAACACTAATGAAAAGAAAGCTGAATCACTATATCAATAGAAAGGTAGGCTACAAACAAAGAATACTATTAAAGATAAAGACAGACATTATAGAAGGATAAATATGTCAATTTACCAGGAAGACATAACAGTCCTAAAAACGCATGTACCTAAAACTTCAAAATACATGAAGCAAAGGCGACACAAATCAAAAGGACAGACAAATCCAAAAGTATACTTGGAGACTTTAACCTCCTTTCTTACTATTGGGTAAAACACATAGACAGAAAGTCAGTAAGAATACAGAAGGCGTAAGACTGGATACTTTCCCATTAAGGTGAGGAAAAGGCCAGTATGTCCCTCCTTATCATTCCAGTTTATCATCATACTGGACATCCAGCCAGTGAACTAAGACAAGGAAAAGAAATGTCATAAAAACTGGAAGGGAAGTAATAAAGCTCTCTTTCATCAGAGATGATGTGATTATCTATGCAGAAAATCCCAAAGAGGGGAAAAAAATATTCTAGAGGGGAAAAAATATTCTGATTCTAATGAATCAGCTTAGCAAGGTATGATAATGCAAGATCAATGTGCAAAGACTGATTATATTTCTGTGTACTAGCAATGAACAATTGGAAATTGGAATTAAATAATCAGTACTATTGTAATAGCATTAGAAACCATGAACTACTTTGGGATAAATCTAAGATTTTTATGCTGAAAACTATGTTGGTGAGAAAAATCACAGAAGGCCTAAATAAATGGAGAGATATCTCATTTGTGGATAAGAAAATTCAGTATTATTAAGATGTCAATTCTCCCCAATTTCATCTATAGAGCAATACAATCCTGATCAAAATCTGAGTGGGATTTTTTTGTTCACGAGCTGCTTCTAAAATTTATATGAAAAAACAAACAACAAAAACTATTTTGAATAAGAAAAAGTTGGAGGATTCACACTCTCTGATTGCAGGATTTGCTGTAAATCTATACTCATCATAACTGCAAGGTATTAGTAAAGGTTACCATACATATGGATCAGTGGGACAGAATAGAGTCCAGAAATAGACCAAAGGAAATATGACCAATAAAAACCAATAAATTCTTGGCAATTTTTAAAAAAATTGAGAAAGAAAGAGAAAGAGATAGGATAATCTTTTCAAGACATGGGGATAGAAAATGGTGAATGTAAGGGGCGCCTGGGTGGCGCAGTCGGTTAGGCGTCCGACTTCAGCCAGGTCACGATCTCGCGGTCCGTGAGTTCGAGCCCCGCGTCGGGCTCTGGGCTGATGGCTCGGAGCCTGGAGCCTGTTTCCGATTCTGTGTCTCCCTCTCTCTCTGCCCCTCCCCCGTTCATGCTCTGTCTCTCTCTGTCCCAAAAATAAATAAATAAACGTTGAAAAAAAAATTTGAAAAAAAAAAAGAAAGAAAATGGGCATCGATTTGAAATAAAAAATAATCTTGATGCATACTTTACACTGTATAGTAAAATTAACCATGTGATTTTGTGAGTGGCATTCCTCCACTCTGGGCATCCGTCTCCTTATCTGTAAAATGAAAGGGAAAAAAAGAAGAAAAACTTCTGGATGAACTCTGAGATCCTTCTAGCTCTCACCTCCCATGGCTGTCTTTCTTGCCTTCTGTCTACACAGAACTTATTTATTCACTGGGTTAAACTTGCAGATGAAAAAATGTATACATGCACGTCTCCCCAAGGCTAATGGCAGCAGAGGCTGTGGGTGTCAGAAATACACAAGCTATGGCCTCTCATGACTTCTTATGTTGTCACTGAACTGTTTCTAGCACCTCTTGTGCAAATCAACCCCCTTTACCACCCCCCACAGAGGAATCGGTTTTGCATTCACTTTTTACCTTACCCAGTGCTGTGCTTCCTATTATCTGAAGGATGGATTGGAGAAATTTACTTTCCCTTTGGATAAAGGCAATTAGCTAACAGGTGGTCCTCCAAATTACCATGTGAATTTAGGGTGAACTGCGTCTAACAAATAATACAGTCAAGTCTTCTTACTTGAGGAATAGTTACAGTTTATCCTGACCACATATGCAGTGGGCTGCATCTGCTTGGCTACATAGCAGGCTACAATTTCCTTGTCTTTGCAATCTCTTTGAGGATCACCTGTGACGCACATCACCTTCTGGTTTAATGCCTGTTCCAAGATAAAACTGTTTTATTTCTCTTCTATTTTGATGGAGAGGTTTTCTGAATTAGCAAGAGATTGTTTCAAACTATATTCCCCCCCAAAATCTCAGGCAATGATTATTAGGTGACCCTAAGCCTAACTTCAAATATGAGCAGAAAGGAATCTGGAGATTCTCTAGGATAAGACTGGGCTCTGCTTAAACACATATCATGCTCTGATCTTGCTTTGCAACATAATTGTTTTTGATTGATTGGTTGATTTTAATTTCAGTATAGTTAATATACAGTGTTGTATTAGTTTCAGGTGTATATACAGCAATTCAACAATTCCATATATCACTCAATGCTCATCATGATAAGTGTACTCTTAATCCCCATCACCTATTTCACCCATTCCCCCCACTTCCCCTCTACTAAACCACCAGTGTGTTCTCTATAGTTAAGAGTCTGTTTCTTGGTTTGTCTCTTTTTCTTTGTTCATTTGTTTTCTTTCTTAAATTCCACATATGAGTGAAATCATGTTATTTGTCTTTCTCTGACTTCACTTAGTATTATACACCCTAAAGCCATCCATGTTGCAAATGGCAAAATTTTGTTCTTTTTATGGCTGAGTAGTATTCCATTGTATATATACACCACATCGTCTTTATGCATTCATCTATTGATGGACACATAGGTTGCTTTCATAGTTTGGTTATTGTAAATAATGCTGCAATAAACATAAGGATGCAAGTATCCCTTGGAATTAGCATTTTTTTTTGTAATTTGGGGGGTAAATGCTCAGTAGTGCAATTACCAGATCATGGGGTAGTTCTAGTTTTAATTTGTTGAGGAACCTCCATACTGTTTTCCACAGTGGCTGCACCAGTTTGCCTTCCCACCAGTAGCGCACAAGGGTTTCCCTTTTGTTCCACAACCTCACCAACACTTGTTGATTCTTGAGTTTTTTTTAATGTTTATTTGTTTTTGAGAGAGACAGAGCATCAGCGGGAGAAGGGTAAAGAGAGAGCAAGACAGAATCTGAAGCAGACTCCAGGCTCTGAGCTGTCAGCACAGAGCCCTATGTGGGGCTCAAACTCACAAACCGTGAGATGATGAGCTGAGCCAAAGTTGAATGCTTAGCGGACTGAGCCACCCAGGCACCCTGCTTCTTGAGTTTTTTACTTTAGCTATTTGGACAGGTGTGAGGTAATATCTCAGTGTGGTTTTGATTTCCATTTCCCTGATGATGAGTAATGTTGAG